TGCTATTTTGAATAAATAATAATATATTATTAGTAGAATTTTTGCAAAGATTTCAAAGTGATGGTATTTTAAAAATTTGGCATCTCAAAAGTGGTATTTCTCAAAAATTCTCTAATAATTTCATTGAATTAATAGTTGTATAAGAAAAAATTTTCATCGCATAAGAAATTGAAAGAAAATAAGGGCTAACAATGTTTAATACATAATTTTTCATATCCTTATGAATCTAATGAAAGATGTTAAAATTTTTATCTTTCAAACTTTTGTTTTTTGTCACCTTTTTATATTTTTGAAACTAAAAAAAAATATATACTCAAAGTACAAAATATTTATAGCTATTGTGTATACCAACTTGAGGAATATCCTTAAATATTGTTGGAACTGAATTTGTCACCAAATCCGGCCGACAAAAAAATCATAAATAAAACAGACTTAATATTTGCTATAATGGGCCTTAGACCCGATCACAGATCCAAAAGATGTTTGTAGAGCGTGTTGACTGAGGGAAGTTATGCTATGGAGTTTGGAACGAGTCAAAGAAGATCTTTGAATCCCGTCAGCTCCACGGGATTTCCGAAGAACCACTCACGAACGTGTCCGAGATATCCAGAAATAGTCAAGATACTCGAAGCTGGACAATGGCGTTGGATCAATATATAAATACAAAGGATCTTCATTCGACAACTTTTATTTATTAAAAAACTTAACTCTATAATTAGTTGTGTAAACACATCTCTTTTAAGATTTTTTTGTATATTCGATTGATAATCTATATAAATCCACCTTGTTGTACTTATCTCGATTTATAAATATTTTTTTCTCCTAAACTTTCTTCCTCGAATTCACATATCAATTCTTAATGCGGAATTCAGTTTCCACAAATACTACAAATATGTTTTAAGTAAAAAAGTACCAATGTTTTGTAAAAGTAATTCCAAAATTACTAAAAAATGTAGATTTAGGAACGGCTTCTAAAAATTTAGTGAGTGTTACAAATCATTTAGGACCACTTTCTAAATTTTATTCATCCCTCAAGCAAAAATTGTTGTATATATGGAATTTTAGGGTTTTCATAGTAATTTAGAAGAAGAAAAAACACAAAAATGTAGTATTTTTGAAAATTTTCCATATTTAAGTATAATTACATTTCTTGCATTAAAAAAAATCTCATTTATTTAAGAGAATTTTTTAGAAATGACACTTTTGAAATGATATTTTTCAAAAATGCCATTTTTAAAAACCATTTACTCAATATATATAATTTATCTTTGGTTAATTATGTTGTATTAGAGTTTACTTTTGATGGTTTAGGATTTGTTAGGGGTCAAAACTTTTTTTCGGATTTAAAATTATAAAATTTAGGATTAAAAAATCTTTAGACATTTTTAGAAATAGACAATCTATAGTGGCATCTTTGAAAATAGACACCAAAAATGATATTTTTGCAATTGTCCATTTATTTAATATTTTTGTAGATTATAGATACTAAATTTATTTGGACTAATGTATCAATCATTAAATTTTCATGTCTCACGTGGAAACATAAAAATATTAATTCTAACATTTGAATTTAGAATGGCAATACTAAATATTTGCATCGCATTTGATATCTTTTATACAATTAAATTTGAGGACAATTGCAAAAATGTCATTTTTTGTGTGTTCATTTTAAAAAATGGTATTATGGGTTGTCCATTTGCAAAAATGCCACTAATTATGGATTTTTAAAGTCTAAATCTTAAAATTCTAAACCCTAAAAAATATTTTTGACCCCTAACAAACCCTAAACCCTCCAAAATAAAATCTAATAAAACATAGTTAACCCAAACATAAATGATATAATGAATAAATAATTTTGAAAAAATGGTATTTTTGCAAAGATTTTGAAAAAATAGCACTTTTGAAAAGTGGCACTTCAAAAGTGGCATTTCGCAAAAAAATTCTTAAATTTGTCATAGGAAACGTTGCTGCAATGGAGCTACCAGCAAAGCATAGAAGAAGTGATTTGTTCACTAGGCCGAGAACCTACCCCAGCTAATTAACATATGTTGGGAGGCTTTCATTCCTGTATCCATTCTAAAATGTTCTTTTTATCATAGTAAAACAATTAGTAAATATGTTGGGTATTGAAACTTTTGTTATTTTCAATTTTACCTGTAAATGAGAAAATAGTTTTTGGTTTTGTTCTTTTTTTTTAAAAGAGAAAATATAACCAATGACGATGTTTTAGAAAATACGTTAGAAATTAAAATATGCGTGTAAATTTGTTAAGCCGGCGTGTATAATTTATAACTTATTAGACTATCCACAAGTTTATTTTACTCGATCAACCTGTTTAGACACTTATGCTTTCGGCATATAACAATAGTGTTAAAGATTAGCTGCTATGTTAATCAAATAAGTCGGACCTTTAAGCTACAATGAACCATTTTCTTGCTTTAATCTTCATATTATTAAGAAGGGTTAAGAATCTCAACGAAAATAATATGAAAAAGAAAAAGCGATATAGTTTGAAGAGGAGTTGTTTAGAGTTTTTCCTGTACCAGTCGAATATACTACAGAGAGTACTACAAGAAGTGATACAGAAGTTGAGTTGTGCGATTTGTGGAGGAGTTCATGTATTGAAATGCATACGCGTGGGTTAAGATAAGGAAATGGAAAAAAACTATTTACTTGGAGGAAAAAAAAAAGATATTTGAAGAATATATTTTAGAGAAAAAGAAAGAAAGGATAACTATAAAGAATGAAAGTTTCTTAGGGTTAATCAACGCTCTCTACATGTATAAATAGAGAAGCACGGTGGATGAGTTTTTTCACGCGTCTTAGAAGAAAAAAATACAGAGAGTTGATTTGAGAGAAGAAGGCGTC